ATTAAACAACGCTAGTTCATTTAGAAGCTTTAAAATGCTCAGTCTGTGTCTCATCTGTCTCACACCCTGGGAAGCAGGGTGGCTGTACACCTGCTGTGTTTCCGCCTGGAGGGAAAGAAAGCCCCTCCTCTCCGTCCCAAGCTGGTGCCTGGTGGAGGTGTCCCGGGGCAGGAGAGCACCATGGCCTTCCTGTCTGCTGAATGGCCACATGGAGGACAAAGAAGCCACTTCATGGGCAAAAACCCTAGAAATGGAAGATAGTGGTCTTTAAGTCATTGAATCCAGGTGTGGAGGTAGGGGCCATGGTGGCTCCTTCTAACTGGCTTCTTCTCACTAGCACCTCCAAAGTCAAGTAGGGGGAAAAGCGTGACAGCTTTCCTCCATTAAAAAAATCCAGGACGCTTCATGAAAGATGGCAAGTTCTTGAGTTGTGAGGACAAGAGTCACATGTTGAATCAGGGCTGCTGTATGTATCTGCATGAAACATCTCGGGCACTTGGGCTTCTGAAGCCAAACACAGTAGGCATGGTGTGTTAGGCTGAGATCTCTAGGGAAACAGCCAGTGACACTTGAGTGTGTATGTCTAGAGAAAGGGATTTATATCCAGAAGTGGCTCCCACGGTTGTAGAAGTGCGTAAGTCCAGTCTGTGAGTCAACTATAAATTGAAGGCTTCTCCTGACTCGTGTAGCCGCAGGGACGGATGACGAGGAAGCAGGAAGATAAGGCAGGAAGGGCAGAGGCTGGTGGATACAGAAATGAGTGAATCCGAGGGTGCCTGAATGAATCCTAGGTCTGCAGTCCACGGATGGGTGGCTCATTGGCAAGTGATACAACAGGAAGTCGTCGAACCAGATGCAGGATCCAGTTCCAGCAACGGAAGTGAACTAGCTTCGGCACAGCCTCAATCTATACTACAGGTAAGCTATTTCCTGAATGAAACTTCTCTCAACTGTATCCAGGGTGTAATCAAATTAAGGAGATGGTACTCTCCCCATATGCTTCCCGTAACTGCTTGGACTGCTTTACAGAAGATCCCTTCATGGAAATGACCGCACTGTTACATCATCTCATGGGAAAATCCACCCCCTACCCCGCCCTCCTGCAAGTTGACATAAAACCTTTCACACTAGGGCTGCAGTTCAGGGCTGGCGAGTGTGAGAAGGATAGATGTTGTCAAGTCCAATCGAGAAGATGGCTTCTTTGGAGGGCTGAAGGAACATGCAAGTGTGAGAGAAGAGATGATTCAGGAAAGGCTTTTCAATTGAGGAGCCATGGCCTCCCCCTGATTGTCCTTCCTTCCATCTCCACCCCGGAGCCTGCATGCTCTCCCTACCTCAAAACCCATTCCATAGCCACACAAGGACCAGATTGCCTTAAGTGAGATCACATATCTGGTAGGACTGAAACACTCCCAGGACCCTCAGAGGAAAACCAAATCAGAAAAACCAAACTCAGTCATTACATCCATGATGACTCCCAGTGACCCTACAGAACAGGCTAGAACTGCCCCTGTGAGTTTCCAAGACTGTAACTTTTTCATGGGAGTAGAAAGCCCTGTCTTTCTCCCATGGAGCAGCTGGTGGGCTCGAACTATAGATCTTGTGGGTAGTAGCCCAAGGTGTAGATACTATGCCACCAGGGCTCCTTAAATTCTGCACACCAGGTGCCTTTCACCTCACCTGAGCCCTAGTCTTGATATGTGATGATACATCCAAAGTTGTAAAGTACTAGTGAAATTGCCCTGCCTTCCCAAATCTCTTCCTATTAGCTCCCACCCAGCCTAACTTAATTTCTAACCACTTTACTGTGATGGAATCCCTGAATGCCAGTGCCTATTCTCTGTTAACCCCTAACCCTATCCTAAAGCTAGAGACCCGATGTTCCCTAGTGCCACAATCTGTCTTCCAAGTAGTTGAGTCTGGAGTTGGGAAGACAGGTGGGGAGATTCTCAGGTGGGGTTTTGGTCCTATGTTAGTCAGCTTAGGTCAGCTGTGCCTTCTACTGCCCTCTGTGGCCTAAGCATCCCTGCCTCTAGAGGAAGAACACTGTCATTGAGTTGATGATGACCCATGGAGTTTCCCAGGCTGCAACCTTCATGGAAGCAGACCACCACCTCTTCCTCCCACGGAGAAGCACTTAAATAACTGCGTCACCCACCAGAACCCGTTACTGTCTCCAGAGACACTTGACATCTTGGGACCCGCCCTCCCTTCAACATCATATCTCAGAGCTCTTCTCTCACTTCTCTGTGAGCTTTAACAACTTAGCAGGAAGCCCCTCCAGCCACAAGTCTGCCTTCCTCTGCCCGGTGCACTCAGGTCTCCTCTGCTCAGCTTGTTGAACTGACTCCTGAAGAAACCCCCAAAAGTCATGGGGTTCCAAGCAACCCCCCTCGGAGGGGCTCAATTCGACTGGGAATTAGAAAGGGTTCCTTCCGGCCAATCTCTCAGACACTGGTAAAATCCCAGAATCGTCAGTGATTCACTGGCATTTCCTCAACTCTATCCAGTGTTTATCTCGGCGGGAGGGCCTTTCATTTAGGGCCTGAAGTCTCACTAAGAAGGACTGGCTGGCTGGCCCGAGGGAAGATGTGTTTTTAATATGGCTGGGGTGCTCCCCCTCTTTCAAAATTTTAATTTGCTTTATTTTTTTCCTGTTGTTGTTGAGCCTAGACACGGAACAGCCACGAGCTCCACGTTTCCACAAATGCAACTCGGCGGTGTGGATTCCATTCCTCAAGTTGCTCAGCCATTTTCACTGTCCTTTGAAGGATTCTTCTTCCTCCATTAACATAAATGCACAACCCGCATGTTTCCTATCAAAGCTGACATGCTCCTAAGTGACCTTTTACCTTTCCTCCTTAAAACAAACCAAACCGAAAAACAAAACAAAACAAAACACCCTGAAAGTCTGACTGTATAAGCTCCAAGGTGAGGAACATCTCCTAAGACTTGGGGTGTTGCTTTGTGACTTGGTGAACACATTCCAGGAAGGGGGCCCTCCAGGATCTGGTGGGAGAGGGCTCTGAGAGCTGGGAACCCACCCGTGCACCTGACCTGTTTTCTCCCCCAACTCCTGATCCAGTGGGGCAGGTTTATGGTTTACGGGAGAAAGAACTGTGTCTATCCATTTGGATGTTGCATTAAGTTAAGTAAAGGCTTTTGATGTTAAAGATCACTCACTACTATGGGACAGGACAGAATGTCCCTGGGTTTCTGAGACTGCAAACGTTTCACAGGAGTAGGAAGCCAGCCAGGGCGGGGCAGGGGCTGGTGGATTCAAACTGCTGACCTTGTAGCTAGCAGACCAACGCACAACACCTCCCCCACCAGAGCTCCTGGCCATGGAGAAAGCCAATATAAAATCACCTGGCCCCTGAAGCGACAGAACCAGCCTTGACAGGACTCCCCCGGGAGAGCTATGCGCTTTGGGTGAATCCCCTGTCCGGTTTGACCTTCCTGGAGCCTCCGCGATGAACAGGCACCTCTAGGGAGATTGGGAAATGTGTCCGGTTCTGAAGTCCTTAGTCTTTCCCTGGCGTGCTCCTGCCTTGCTTTCTGCCACTTTCCAAACAATCCTGAGACCTTCCCCCCACCCCGCACCCCTTGGACAAAGGGGGTTGTGGGGGGGGGGGGATACGTGATGTTTCATATCATGGCAACGACACAATTTTATTTTTAAAAACGGTTGCATGTATATCATTTTAATATAAAACTGTGGCGAGGCATAAAAGCAGGCTAGAGAGGTTCGCACTCCAGTTTCCCAGGCTCTTGGATTCTCCTCTCATCATCTAGGGTTTCCCCTTCGCGGGACTGGCCTGCAGGATAGCTACTGTTCGGGTAAGAAAAGGGGCGGGACTCTCGGGAGAGCTGAACTGTGCGAGCGAGCTTCTCCGGGGCCTGGTGCGGTTCCACGCAGCGCTTCACTCGCGGCCGAGAAACCCCGGGGCGCTAACGGCCTGAGCCTTTAGATCCCCGACCCCCTCTACCCATACCGAACACCTAGAGCCTCCCGTTCCTCAGACTTCCATTAGACCCTTGAGACACGGAGGGCAGGCTCTTGATTTTACGACTTGGGGACGCGCTGCAAACTCCGTTACCCTAGGAAGCCACATGAACTTGCCCCATGCTGACTTTGCCTGGACCAGACTTGGGGAGTAGAGAGCGGCAGGCCGCCTGAGGGTTTAATTGTCCCTTTCTCTCTTATCCCGCCCAAACCAAGCGTCTAGCCAAACCCTGCCCGCGACCGGTGGGACCAGGAAGAGGAGGCACCGCCATCTCGCTACGACTGCACTTTCTCTTAGCCCCGCGGCAGGTGACCGCGCGGCCGGCCGGCCTCTCCTCGAAGGCTGCAAAGCCAGCTACGCGTCCGCGGGGCGCTCCGACGGATCCCCGCCAAGTCCCAGGGGCCACTAGAGCGGGCCAAGGGGCGTGGGAACACGCACCGCACCGCGGAGCGCGCAGCCCTGTCCTCGCTCCCAAGGACATGGCACGGGTGGGAGGACACCGGGGCCGCGGAGCGCTCTCGGCTCGCTCTGCACGCTCGGGCGACCACTCCTCGCCGCCAGCGAGACCCTCGCCTCCCGCGGCGCGGAGGCCCACCTCGCTTCCGCCACCCGAGACCTCATAAACAAC